GCAAAACCAAACGATGCTAATGAATACCTCCTTGATTTTGTATCTGAAATAAATGATTTGATTGAGAAGGGAATCACCTTTGATAATGCACATTTTAGTGTATCTTTACATTCGTTAATTTGTGATGCCCCTGCAAAATCCTTTGTAGCTAAAATAAAGGGTCACACAGGTTACTTTAGCTGCACTGCACAAAGTGTGTGCAAGAGGGTACCTATATTGAAAACCGAATGTGTTTTCCAGAAACAGTATTCACGAAACGAACACATGATGGGTTTCTGTCTGAGCAACAAGAGGAACATCACGTGGGAACAACAATATTAACACATATAAAAAATTTTGATCTAATCACCAATGTACCTCTGGAGTACATGCACTTAGTATGTAAAGAAAATTGTTAGCTTGTGGTTAAGTGGGCCTTTAAATGTGCGTCTTCGCCATGCAAAAGTTCATTCGATATCAAATGTTTTGCTTTCTTTGAGACCCTCTGTTACAAAAGAATTTGCAAGGAGACCACAAGAAATACAAAATATCAGTAAGTGGAAGGCTACAGAACTACGTCAATTTTTATTATACACTTGTCCTGTAGTTTTGGAAAAAGGAGTACATAAACAAGTGTATGATCATTTTATATCACTGCATGTAGCTATGCGAATTCTCTGTAAAGATTTTGAAATAAATGCAGTGGGTTATGCAAAAGAACTTTTAAAACACTTTGTGGAAACATTTATTATAATTTATGGTGTAGAATATGTATCCCACAACGTTCACGGTTTACTGCATCTTACAGATGATGTTCAGTATTTGGGACCTCTCGATTCATTCAGTGCCTTTCGTTTTGAAAATTTTATGAGGATATTAAAAGGTTTTTTAAGAAAACATGACAAACCACTTCAACAACTACATAGGAGATATAAAGAAGGCGAATTTGTAAATAAGCAAGAACATTCAGTGGTAGGGCACAACAGCTGTGGCCAAGAAGAAGCATTGCAGAAACAAGTTACGCAATTACAATTTAAGAATTCTTGTCTCAAAAAAAATTTCCAGATAATTGTTGCATCACAAAAGAGAAAGAAGTAATTCTGATTGAGGATATCTGTACTGATGTAAATGCGAGCTGCCCATTATTGGTTGTGAAGAAGTTTCTAAATTTAAGTGATATTTACACTACACCATGTCCATCAAGCTATGTTGATTGTTTTTTTGCTACAGAGTTATCTGAAGCTACATATATGATTCCTGTTAAACATCTCTATGCAAAATGTGTTAGATTTCCCTTTAAGAATGGATTTGCTGTCTTTCCTCTCTATAGTTTAACATTGTAAATATGTATATTTATAATATTTAAGATTTAGTATTTTCTTTAAAACGATTTCGTATGGTACAATTTTGCAGATTTCTCAGATTTAGTCTGTTTAAAAAAATTGATTTACTTCCCAACATATCTTTGGAAATGGATACTAGTCGTTGGAGTGTTGTTGAGTTCGATGATGGAGTTCAGCTAATTCCAAATAATTGGATACATGGGAATAAGAGCTATTGGCCCACATTTAAAAGTAATATACGATTTGAAAAAGCAGTATCTTCGTGTGAGAAACCTGTAGAAACATGGCCTTCATACGACATGCGTGTTTTGGGAGCATATGGTATGTAAGTTTTGTATCATTTAAGTTCTAAAAATTTCCATTTACAGATACATATGAAAAGGCAAAATCTAAATTGAAGTTGGCAGAAGTGCAATCTGACCTCGGCACGGAGAATGAAGAAATGGAAAAGGCAAATCGAAAGATTCGAAAACGGAAAGTCATTGAGTCATCCCCTGAAAAAAGTGAGGAAGAAAGTGACGACTTGGACCATTTAATAAGCGGCATAAAACCATTTCCACAGATGAAACAGATATTGCAATGCAGTCAAAGCGCTCCCACACCACCATCTGCATCTCGATGTGCACCATCTCGTTCCAGATCGTCTACACCAGCTTGTTCTCGATCATCCACACCTCCTAGTTCCATATCTTCTACGCTGATCCATTCCACACAATCTCGTTCTTCACCTTTTGCACAATCGCGCGTACCGTTAAGGTGCACTGCATCTCAAGAGATGGAAGACATATCGGAGCAACTTTCACATGAGACGTTGAGATCGCAGAATATTCATTCATTTGCGGATGATGGTATGAGCATGGTATTGCTTGTAAGCATTGACGTAACAATTTTTTTGCAGAATTTAAAACCAAAGTGCTATCAGAATTATCCTTTATTAAATTAAAACTTTCCAAAATCCAAAAATTCATGGTAATTCAAAAGCAAAACACAACAGAAAACGATAGCAACGAAAATAATGAAGTAGACTTGGACGTAAACAATTTCCCTTTATCAACCGATGAAGACCTAAACAAAATTGAAGAAAAACTGGATAACGAAGAGTATAACAAAAAACTAGTAAGGTGACATTACCTCTTACAAACATTTTTTATGCTTTGTTTATTTCCAGATTGAATACCTCGGCAGAATAGGTGGATATACCTAAGTTAGATGAAATAACCAAACTTATTTTACGACGATTATTTTCGAATGAATTAGCAGCAAAATATAGTTGGTTGGGGGCAAAACAAAAAAAGGCCATGCCAAATCTAAAATTGGCTGCTATTATTTTAAGTAAGACTTCAAGCATATCAGGTCACAGCGGCGGCTCGTAAGCTGCGTAGAAGCTAGTGCCAAATTGTGTCCCCCTCCCCATTATTTTAATAGTTACAAATTTTTATTTTCATATTATTCCAGTTATTTAGATTTTGAGTATAATTCGAATATTTATAATGCAAGTGACAGAAACAAATCTAGCCCTTTAATTTCTTTGGAGACTTGTTTCATAAGTATACTTCAAGTATGCATTCCAGTAATTCATTTTGTGTTGTTTTAGATGAGAATTAGCGGATTTTTTTTGACAAAAAATCGTATGGAAAGTGTTACTTTTTTCACGATTTGTACTATCCGTTTCCATGGCGTTTAGTCCGATCTATAAACAATAGCAACATTTTATTTGCAGTTTTATTAAAGAGGCCGAAGTGTCATTTTCAACAATGAATACCTACTCCTTTATTTTCGGATTTATCGCTATTGTCGTGTCCTCTTAAAGAAGATTCAGACACATTTCGTTTTCTAACAATATTTAAGTCCGGTAACGGCCTGCTTAATTGCTTTATTTAAAGTCTATCTTCCAGAGAATGCATGGAAAAAGGTTTATTTAAATGATTTTTTAATTTGTGTATTTTACGAAACAATTAATCCGGGAAGTGTAATGTTACACAGAAGTAAAAAAATTGTTTGACTTATCACGACTGAAACAAAGAACACGGCGCAAAGCATAGTAATACAAGTACACGATATTCAATTATGCTTATGAGCCAAACTTCTGATGGCTCAAGTTGTACGTTAAACGCTACTTCGGTTTCGCTCCTCCCACCCCTCTACTCCCCGCGGAAGTCCACACTTATAGGAAAATACGAGCCAGTTTCAGTTTGGCACGGCTCGACCGTATTTGACGTCTACGGATAAGCACGAATGAATTCTTCTTGGTACCTAATTTATCAAATCATTTACTTTTTTGGTTTTAAGTTTTAGTGAGCACAATTAATAGTAGTTAATTATATTTTAAGAATTGATAATTAGCAGGTTCTTTGAGGTAGTGCCATGGCTCCTTGGCTCTTTATAGAGAGCCGCCCCTGTCAGGTCATTTTTTAAATCTGTTATTGTTTAAGGTTCTGTTAGAAGAAACAATATTGTAAAAAATGCCAGTGATAAGGATATAATAGAATGTATAAAAAATTGGCTTCGTCATGCCAATACTAGGAGTAGCAATCAGTAAGTTAAATTTTTATTTACCACGGGTGTGAAATATACTCTCAGCCTTATTTTTTGCACTTCCGATTAGGTAAGCTGTACTAGTCAGTTCATACTACCTATTCAGTTGTGACTAGAGCAAAGAGAGTTAACTTACTTCTCCAAGTTGTGAAATTTTATTTTGGAATCTCAGTAAATGCATACGTTTGGCAATTTACCGTATTAAACAAAAGAACTGCAACCCGGGAAATATCGTAGCTTATAACTCCTGTCACACACCTTGGCAATAGAATTTCAGTTTATATAATATAACCTCAATTAGAGCTATATTTTATATTATTATATTTTATAGGTAAATTAATACACATTTTTGTTTTAGGCAGAAGAAAGAAGCAAAATAGATCCTGTGAGGTCGTTTTTCTCATTTATTTTATATATTATTTTCATTATTATAAGTATTTCAGTTAATGTAATAAAGCACTTAGGTATACACTTATAAGAATAGTATTATTAATTACCTCTTCTGGATTTCTTTTTTAAGACTAATGGATATCCACTTAAAATCTAATGGATGTCCATAAAATACTGGATATTGGTCGGACATATGGATATCCACTGAATCTCCATTAAATATCCACAAACATCTAATGTATATCATGGATATCTATAAAAAATATCCACTGGAAGTGCACTAGACGTTTGTGTGCTATGTGGGCAGTAATGGAAGGTTAAAGATGTTAACATTTCCTTCCATATTCATTCTAAATTGCATACTTGATGTACAAGAAAATAGGTCGCTATTTCGTACTAACAATTCGTTTCATAACTATCACACTAGACATGGAAATGACATTGTTATACCCTATCACAGGCTCAAAACCACACAACAACCAACAACCCATCTTGCAATTAAACTTTTTAACAAACTGACATGGGACAGCAAACACTTACCTAATAAAAGATTAAAATTGGAACTAAAGAATTTCTTAATTATAAAGGAAATTCACTAATTAGTCTAACATAAAATCGATCTAAATAAATTATAAAGTTTGTACATAAAGGCCGTCTGACACGATGCTAAATTTTTGGTAAAATTTGTGAATAGAATTTTATCATAAAAAATTTACTTCCATAATTTATTTAACAAAATTATATTGTCTGACACTGTACAAAATTTATCATAAAAATTAGTAAGTGCGTCTGCGCTTTGCATTTTTTTTCTAGGGAATATGGGTTTTTAAGTCAATAAATCTGGTAGTGGTACACCTACACATATAAATAACAAAAATAACATAACCTCTTCTAGTATTTACTTTTTTGATTTTTCATTATTTCATATTATTATCTATTGTGCTACTACTGGTAATTGTAATGAACCGAAATCTAATCGCTAGCTCGGCACTTGCCGCAAGTGTCATTGTCATTATGTCTTGTCTTCTAACAAAAAGGCGTAATAAACGTACTCGAATTTGGAGCAGGAACTGGCTGCAAAGGCGAAACGAGGGTCGTGATGTTTTAAACATGCTAAATACAGAACTTTTACCCGAGGATCCAAATGCATATACAAACTTTCTGAGATTAACTAACGATCAGTTCGAATATTTGCTGTCGTTGATATCAAATGAAATATGCAAACAAGATACACTAATGCGAGAATGCATCCCTTCCAGAAGCAAGTAGGTGATTAAAAAATTAATCATAGGCACTCACTTGTGCTATCATTTTAGATTAGAAGTTACCTTGCGATTCCTAGCAACAGGCGAGACATACCGATCCCTTATGTACACCACTAGGATACATGAAACTACGATAAGCCGCTTTATACCTGAAGTGTGCCAAGCCATAGTCTTGAAATTAAAACCAATCTATTTAAAAGTAAGTTATAGTCCGTATATTATACTGTCAATTTTTACGATATGAAACCTGGTATAGGCACCAAGAACAGCAGAAGAATGGAAAAAAATTTCTCAAGATTTTGATCAATTATGGCAATTTCCTCATTGCGTGGGAGCTCTTGATGGTCGCCACATCACTTTTAGGGCACCCATATCTGCTGGCTCGTATTATTACAACTACAAAGGTGCAAATAGCATTGTGTTAGCATTAGCCGCTGCCAACTACAAGTTCATTTACGCAAATATAGGTGTCAATGGACGAATTAGTGATGGGGGTGTTTTTCAGAATAGTAGCTTGTCAAGGGCACTACAAGACAATTCTTTGAGTCTACCAGCCCCAGAGGTATTACCAGGAATGACAGAAGCTTTACCGTATGTTATTGTTGCCGATGATGCCTTTCCGCTGTCAAAGAACCTATTGAAACCCTATCCAGATCGTGGACTCGGCAATGATAGCAGAATTTTTAATTATCGGTTATCCCGTGCTCGGAGAATAATAGAGAATTCCTTTGGAATTCTTGCAAACCGATTTCGTCTTCTGTTAAATCCAATTAATTTAGATGCAGAAAAAGTAGAGTTGATTACACTCACTTGTGTAGTGTTACACAATTTTCTCGCAACAGACAATGCACAATCATATATTGAACTTGAAGAATTTAATGAAAACTTGCCGAAAATAAATCGACAGTGTGGTAACCGGACATCTATTGCAGCAAGAGATATTCGTGATCATTTTAGAAGTTATTTTAATTCTTCACAAGGTTCGGTGCCCTGGCAACAAAATGCAATAAACAATTTTAATTTGTGAAATTCGTTTTTATTTTACATATGCCTATTATTAACAATAAATACTACAAATTGTTACATTTTTTTAGGGCATCAAACAGTGTGTGTACAATTTTTTCTTCTGTCTGCAAACGAATGGATGTATCAGTAATTCGTTTTAACTTCGACACTATAAATTGAGCCAATGCCTCATCTTCATCTACGTTTTGTACAAAACTTTGCTGCATTGTTGATGAAATTGATGCTAAGGCACTAGATGCTTCACGCATTACATTATCTTCAATTGTTTCTCGTTTTCTTTTCTTTTGAAATTGCAGTCGTTTTGATGGAGTAGCACCATCTACGTCTTTTACCGGTGAAATAGGACGAGAAAGATTTGGTGAATTCAATTGGGAGTCGCGAACTTGACTCGATCCCGTGTCCAATGTATTAGTAATATCGTTGAGACTACCATCTTCTGTCACATAGTACTCTGATGTTACTATCTCCTCGTCGCCTACCTGCGGTGTGTCATCTTCTGCGATTAAGCTATCCACGGCCTGCCGCACTTCGACATGTTCTAACAAAAAGAACATTCGGTTGAAATACCAAATTGTTGGTTTGTAAATCTGCAGGAAAAATGTATAGTTAGTCAATAAATTAGATAATATTGAAGGTTTTGCTTACCCCGTCACCATCTTCATCACCTGCTCCACTACGGCGGCTGCGATTCCACTTCTTGTATTCTGTGAGAAAATTATTCTTCAGTCCGTTAAATTTTAACTTGATATCGTTGATGGTAACAGACGGCTTAAGGGGTTGCAAGACTGCTTGAATTTGCTGTAAAGCATTCTGTCTAGAATGTTTATTTTTATACTGTGCAGATTTTACTGCATATAAACAGGAATGTCTTTGATATTCATCTATCAGCACTTCACATTGCTCCCGCGACCATGACATTGTGCAAATTCGTAATTTAGCACTAAATAAACCGCTCTCGTTCTTTCGCAAAAACGCCCAAAATGAGAATAATTGAAATTAAATTAGATAGGTTATGTGATATGTCACCTACGAAACGCCGAACCGCGTGCGCATCACGTACGCGCACATTTTATAACAAATTTATGCATTTTTTAGAACAGGATCTAAAAAATTTTATACAAACAAATTTTGTAACAAATTTTTGTACAAAATACGTATGACACTATGCAAAATTTTGTATGAAAATTAATCTGCAAAATTTTGTACAAAATTTAGCATAGTGTCAGACGGCCTTAAGGTTTCACAATGGATACAATTTTATAAATCAAGTAATAAAAATTAGGTTTTTTGACGTGCTAAAACAATTCCCGTGTATGAAAGTCAATAAATTATTATTATTATTTAACAGAATCACAACAAATTATGCACAGATTGAGAAGGAGGCTTTGGCAATTGTATTTGGATGCCACTAAGTTTAAGTTAAATGGCTAAACATGCAAAGTAGGCGCAAGTTACATACACTCTTTATACCACCAAATTATTATACACAAAAACGCAGTTACTGGCACGAAAGGATTAGATATTGTACAGATATTCATAATAGGGAATAGGGGAATAAAAGGGAAACATAGACCAACACAAGATACGAAGAATCGTATACGATTTTCAGTAGGGGAATTTCTTGTCAGTCAGCTCACAGTCGGAAACCAGACTTTTTAATCCAGCTCATATTCAATAGCGCTGATTGTTGAACTCGTAGAAATCAATGGAGAAAGTTTGACATCGCTGTCTCTTGTCGTTCTCGAGTTAGGCGAGGAACAGACGGACAAAACCTTCAGATAAGGCGAATTTTTTTGCTTTCGAAAAATTCCCCTAAAACGAATGGGTAATAAATAACTATACAACATGACTTCAACATGGTTTGTGTAGTCTTGTATTTGCGGTCTTTCTTATCTAGCATACTTTTCAAGGCCATGTCGATGGTAAACGGATACATACCCGACAGTTTTAGTGGTTCGAAAAAAATAAAGCCGTTCTTTACCACCTGCATATCTTCGCGTTGCAGCCAAATATAACTGTCGAGATCAAGTTCCAACAATTTCAATTTGATTTGAATTGGTTCGTTTCGAGAATTCTCCCAATATTAAACACATGCAATCATGATGGACAACAGCATATATTGTTGCAGTTGAAATACGGTAACGTGATTTGCGGCATCACTGTCTAGATCCGAAAATGTTTCGGTATCATCAATCACTATTAGGGTTGCCACCTTTGATTTAGCCACGACCTGCAGTAAAATGTGAAAGCAAAATTTTCAGTGAAAGATTGAGGCGTATAAGATTGATAAGATTAAAGTTTGTTTATTTAGCATTATTTACATTATTATGCAGGAACATTACTTTTTATAGAACTTAAGGGTGTATTCCACTTAAAATTTATTTTTGATTGACGTATGATGGGTTGCATAATACTTACTTGTAATGAAATCGAAACGAATAAACAAAGATTGAAGAATTTACCTGCCCATCAACAAGTATTTACGCTAATTTACCTAGGTCATTAGCCATTGTGAGGAATATGCATATATAATTAAACATCGATTAGAAAACGCAAATCATTGTCACAGCGGCTAATCCTCAATAATTTCACTTTTCCAAGTTATTCATAAGACGTATATATTTTTTTAAACCCAGTATAGTTACTTCATGATCATGAACTATATTGACTCTCCCTATCTGGAAAATAACGCATGTAAGCGAATAAGTACCTACAATTAGATATATTTAAAAAATGCATATCCAAATCCCAAACATTTATTAGTAGGGGGTTTTCAAAATTTCGTCTAATTCGGGAACAACACAAAATAAATGAGGACTAACGCTTTTTTCGCAAACTATGTCTCTTTCCGAAGGATGCTACAGGGAAATAATCTCAAATTTGTATCAAACTAAAATTTTAGGGGTGTTTCAAAATTTCGTCTAATTCGGGAACAACACAAAATAAATGAGAACTAACGCTTTTTTCGCAAACTATATCTTTTTCCGAAAGATGCTACATGAGAATAATCTCAAATTTTGATCACACTAAAATATTAGGGGTGTTACAAAAAAACGCCAGAAAAGACGTAAACTTTTAATTCACCCAAAAATAAATCACATTTTCCGTGTGAATTCTATTACCCAGTATATTATGGAATTATAATACGTTCTAATGAATCCGGTTTCTATTTGTAAATCAGTCCCGATAAACGCAACAATGCCGCTATAATGAAGTCAGGTCTGCCGTATGATGTGTTGCCTATTGTACATTTATAAATGGTGAATGACTTCACTAAACGCTACAAGTTTTCGTAAAAAATTTCGAATGAATATTTCGTCTAAAATTTTTTGTAATTTATTTGAAAGTCTGGTCGATGGCTCTATGGTTTGCTAATGTTTTTTCTGAGTATGCTACAGGGAGATTTTTAAAATAATTTGTGTTGACGCCATTTTACCTATAAAAGTTCACTTTTTATTGGCAGTGCTCTAAAAAATTGTTTTTTCTTAAATATTAAAATTTTGTTCTGTAGCATACTTTTTAAATGTATAATTTACACGAAAAAAATTAGCCCCGTCTTTCATCTCATGTTTTACAGAATTGAGACGAAATATAAATCGCACTATTTTCGCATAAATGTTGTAGTACTGGATTACACCCTTAAATCTACATTTATTATTGCCTTGACACGCATCCAGTAGTGCATTTTGCTCTTTTTTTCCAAAAATTCGGCAAATTGTTGACGAGATATACTAAAATTCAATTTTACACACAATTCTGCCTTAACTAACTCCACTCTCATTCTGTTTCTTTCATTTGTCCAGAGATTACCCATCAAAGAGAAGATTTTTTCAGGAAATGCGTTGCTCACAGGGATGGATAAAATTTTACCGACTATTTTCAGCAGATTGGGCAGATTGGATGTTTCCTGATATTTCCTTTATTTCTTTTTCAGATTCAGACAATCAAAGTACTGGAAGGGGCTATTTTGGAAATCATAATACTTATCCAAATAATCAAGGAGTTTCTTGTAAACCAAATTCGCCTCCTTCATAAAAATCTGTTTCTGGTTCGCTGGGAGATATTTCAAAGCATATGACACTTTACCCCAAAGAATTGATCATTTTGTTTTTGGATTATTTGTTCCTTCAGATCGGACATAATTTCATGCAGTCGGTGCTGGTTAATCTATTACTCTCCAGTTTAACTATATGCGTATTCAAAATATTAATATAGTGATGTGATGGACGAAATAAATGTAACTCTGAAAGTGGGATTTCGGATCTTAAATCGTCTTCCAATTCATGCTCTTGGCTTTTAATGAATTTCCAGACATTTTTGTCACAGTTGTCTTCACCAAGATCAAGAAATTTCTTGACGGCTGGCCAACATCGCAGAAGTCGATCAAGAGATGAATATAGGGAGAGCCACCTTGTAGTTACATGTCTCAACATTTTTTGATAGTGAATTTCTAGATATTCAAAGCAAGTGTTGGTGCTGGTGGAAGTGTCATGATGGGTCCAAATTCAGTATCCTCAACCTTCCATTCCATCCATATTCGTTTGGATATAGTACATCAGGATTGGGAACAGTTTCATTATTCCAAACCCAACATTGATGGTGTGCGCGTAAAATGCCTTGTGTGAGTGCTCCTTTTGATGGTGCTGGCAAATTGGCAGCCTTTCTTATTGGACATCCGCCACCGGAGTTC